TTATAATAATGTTTGAATGGTTTCTCTATTGTGTAATGCTAGACAGACAGGATGTCATCAGAGACACTAAGCCCCAGGGTAGGTCAACATTACAATAGGAAGAATGTGTAGAGTTTATGTTTGCACCTGAAGTTGACACAAGCTGTCACATTATGTGCAGTGCTACAAGATACACAGAAGCTATGTTCGCACCTGTTGGAAATGTCAGGTGTAACCTTGTTTAATATTTAGCGTGAGCCAGGGAAAGCTGGAGCACAATGAAATTGGAATTACTGCACCTATGTATCATTTGTCAGGCTCCCTGACAACCCATGAATAATTTCCTACATTTCACTCAGTGTGCATCGTTAGACTCAAGTTACAAACCAATGCACACTGACTGAGCTCTGCTGCGCAGAGTACAGTATGATGCACCAGGATTTTCTTCCATGTTAAAAAATGCATAGAGCTGCTGCAATGCTGGATGCCTACACACATTAACTTGGAAGTAAGCCCCATTGGAAAAAAAAAATCAGATCATTCTTCCAAGTGAGCAGGCATCAGCTCAGGCCACCCGCCTCCTCCTGAAGCACTAAAAGCAGCTGCAGATGTTTATCAGGAAGACCATCTTCATGAAAATGTTTTTTTGGGAAGTTTGAAGTTTGAAACCCCAATAAGAAAGGCTTCAGTGGCTGTTTGCAGATGGAATATTATGTAATATTGCATTTTATTGCTTCCCATGGCCTCACATAGTAATTGAAATAATAAAAAAGCCAAAATAACATTTGATCATTATGCAGTGTGTGTTTAAGAAGAGCTACACACAAAATGGCTGCAAAGAAAATGAGAGATGTCATCAATTTATGCAATCCTCTATACAACATTACATTCTTAGTAGAATGACAACATATATCAATTAATGTTTTTTTAAAAAATAAAAAGTCTTGCCTGGCATTGATTTTGATATTTTTATCAAACAACATTGCCAGACAAGAGAACTGAAATAACATTTAAAACAAAAATAAAGATTTGGTCACAAAAGACAGCTGTGTAACAGTTCAAATGGTGGCAGCATTTTGGAAGAAATTTCCTGAAACAACTTACAGAGGGACAGAAGGGAAGTTTGAAAAGTTTATTGCAACAATAAGGAGAAATAACTGAAATCTTCTTCCATAAAGAAGTGAAGAATAAAATGAGATATTGGGAGGGAATGATATAGCCTTCTGGGCATTCAAAGACTGCCATATCCAGTTGCTATACACAACCAACGGTGAAGGATGTTGGATGCTGAAATCTAATTATGCTTCCACACCATTTGAATAAATCTAACTGGAGTAGATCTACTGAATTCATGGAATTTATGTAAGTGTTGACTTACTGTATGGGGGGAGGGGGGTGGTTCTGTGTCAGGAGCAACTTGAGAAACTGCAAGTCGCTTCTGGTGTGAGAGAATTGGCCATCTGCAAGGACATTGCCCAGGGGACGCCCAGATGTTTTACCATCCTGTGGGAGGCTTCTCTCATGTCCCCGCATGAGAAGCTGGAGCTGACAGAAGGGTGCTCACCGCACTCCCCGAATTCAAACTGCTGAACTTTTGGTCAGTGGTCCTGCTAGCACAAGGGTTTAACCCATTGCACCACTGGGGGCTCCTAACTTTGGGTGAGTATTGTGTATGTTAGTTAAATCTAATTAAATTAGCTTTCAACATGTGTTCCCTTTACTACTGTCTCTGGGCAAAGGTAGGATCTTTTTGAACTATGACCCGTATTGTGATGATGCAACATATATTTTTGTAGTAGAAATACAGTTTAGTAGACATAGGCAATACACGTTGCTTAACTCTGTATAAGTACAACACTATGAACATATGCAATTTTGAGCTGATGATTAAAATATGTGTATGGAGAGAAACAATTTTAACAATAATGAAAAGCATATCATATAAAAAAAATTAACTGTAAAAAAATTGTAAACAGAATATGCAACAGGCAAACATTTTTTTCTTCTAAGTAACCAAGCACTTATGTCATACTTTAGTCACTATTCCATTTACAGTCTTGTAGATTACAAATGTTTTGCAAACAAGGATTTGAAATGGATTGAAATCTCAGGCAGAAATATTGCTGAGCTAATAAGTAGGTGAAATGTCAATCAAAATGCAGAGGCGAAAATATCCTTTTCGCTTAAGAGCCACATATGTATTCAAGAGGACCTATGTATTCAAACTGACAGTTTATATGCTAAAATCTTCTTTCCATATATGATCCGAACAGACAGCTTTGTGCCCTTCCTAACTAAAGAAAAAGGTCAATTGACATATTTCCTTATGTTTTCATGCTTCATTGGCCTGTTTTGGGCAATTATATCCTGGCTTAATATACGTAGTATCTTTCACAAGCTTCATGGACCTACATGCTGCCCATTGCTACTGACTCATTACTTCTTTCTCATAAGTGGAAAATAAGGAATTTGTAGTTAATTATAATTTCCCATGCATCTGAAGCAGGAAACTCTGATCTATGGCTTCCAAAACCAAAAAAGATATGAAGCGATTCTTTAAGTTTGGGTTCCATATCTAAGCTAATTTCAAAGCCAGTATTCATTGTTTCCAAATGAAACTTAATGGGAATTTAAGGTTTGCTCTGGTTGCCTGCTTGTTCACATGAAGAAATACAGAGAGCTCATCATGCTGGCTCACCAAAACATTTCAACCCGTGATACAACAGCTCAAATGAAGTTGCTGTTACAGAGATGAACTGGATTCTACATTAATCATAGCATGGAAAGCAATATATTGTACAGGTCTCTCTTTTTATCATAACATACTCAATGCAATGAAAACACACAGGATTGTGAGAATATGTGCAGACGGTTTAACTTTCTTCTTCTTCTTTGGAAGTTGGTTGGAAATGCAGGGCATAGTATCATCTCATTTATGTTTATTTTACTAAAATATAAGCACCCCAAAGTAAATTCAAGTTATTAAGAATGGTTTCGATGTCAACTATCATATATAAAAAAAACAAGACTAAAAAAAACACAATTCAAAGACACGTCATTATACTGAAAAAAGCAGATCAATTAAATCTGCAATTGTTTTCATGTGATTATAACAACAATTTTCAAGGAAAAAATACATAATCTGATTTAATATTTGCCCAAGTCTAGGTCACATCTTTTAAGGTAATAGTCACAATTACATTCCATCACATTCTCCCACTCAGGTCCCTCTTTCTCCACATGAAATGTTGATGTTTTCATCAGGGAGCAGGTTCCTTACAAGCCTCTGTACAAACTGAGATCATGTTTCTGTATGGTGAATGAGATCATACATAGTGGAGCACTGTTCTGACTACAGAGGTTATGCCTTCACTGTAGGAAGAACAATGGGGAAAGTGACAGCGAGGTGACATAGGCTCAACAAAGAAACTGAGTAGTATTTCAAGAAATAATCAATTTGCTAATAGACTTTCCTATGTATTTTACAGAAAATCCCTAGTTTCAGAATTTAAGACTGAACAAAAAGTACGTTTCTGTGGCTGCATCTCACAAATGAGAAGGACTTCTACAGCAACTTTAAAGCATCCATATTTTTTCACCATTGGTCCTATAAATCTTAGATCGACAGAAAGAGCAAGAAGTGTTCAATGTTATCCAAGCCTGTGAAGATTGTGGTGTCATACTGGAGGCACAACAAATTAGGGTACCAGGAAATGGTAATCACCAGAGAAATTAGGAAAACTAGAAACAGTCTAACCATAGGGGATTGTAATGCAACATTTTTCAAGGTAGACTGATGTATATTATAATCAGTGAAACAGATCTACGGAAAATACTGTATAGTGTAAGATGATCCTGTGAGCTGAATATCCCTTGTTCAAAATGCTTGGGACTGGAATTGTTTTGGGTTTCAGATTGCTTCAGATTTTGGAATATCTGTATTTAGATATATGTAGCTAATGAGATATCTGTTGCGCAGCAAGCGGATTCTATTCAGCATCCTAAGCCCAAATGCCCAAGACTCACAGACAAGAGGAAAAATGAACAGAAAAATCTTTACTCTTAATAGCAGAGATGGAACATAAACTTGCAATGTTGCATAAAAAAAAGCAAACAGTGCAAGAAACTTACATAGTCTTTGTAAGTAACACAAAATAAGGGATCTTCATCTTAAGTCAAATGAGAGAGCAAAACATAAACCTTGAGTAAACAGCTATTCCACCATAGCCTCCTTTACAGCAGCATAACAGCTTCTCTCCAAACTGCTCCCCAGAGCAGAGCCTTTGAGCATAGATCTCCTCAGAGAAAAAGCTCTCCACCACCACCACCAACTGTATTATAAAAAACCCATACAGTTATACACCAATGGGTGTGGTCCAAGTTTGCTGGTTGGCCTACATTACCAGTTGCACAGAATAATTACCATTGTAAGGTTTTTCTTCAACACACACACACACGGTCCTGCTACAACTTACTGTAACAATATCTTGGAGATGGGATCCATGTCTGAATATGAAATCAATTTATGTTTCATATACCTTATATACATAACCTGAAGATATTTTTATACAATATTTTAGTACTTTTGTGCACGAAACAACATTTGTATATATTGAACCATCAGAAAGCAAATATGTCACGCTCCTAGCTATCCATGTGAATTATTTTGAAGTATTTTGGAATTCCAGATAAATGACGCTCTATCTGTTTTAATTTATAGTGTATTCGTTTATAGATTAAAAGTATGTTTAGTCACACTGACTCCCCCTTTTTGACCTTTTCCATACATCAAACTATTTAGCTATAAGTGGGCATCCCATTAAGAGTGTTTTACAAGTCCACACTACTAGACATTTGTGAAAGGACAAAACGCAGTTAAGACTTCCACCCTTACCACCTAGTTAGAAGACTTGGAGGCAAATGTGATCTTGTTTAATGGCCTTATTTTCAAATGAAAGATCAGTGAAATGCAACTTTACTACATATATGCATTCATATCACTGTAAACTATTATGGCTTACCTTGAAAACTGCTGCTGCAATCCACGCATTTGAACTCTGTTGTGCTCAGATTCCAGTGTTACCTCTCGTAATTTTTTTTCGCTTTCAAGCCTCAAGCGTCGCTCTTCCTCCAACTCATGTATCAGCTTCTCACGCTTAAAAAGAGAACAGGACAAAACTCACAAATGTTGGAAAGCAAATATAGGTACTGCTTGAGACTTTCAAAATGACACCGATCCTTTTTCTTTTATAAAAAGTAAACTGTCTTTAATAAATAAATGATTGCACCACAGTGTTCATTTTCATTTCTTTTCATTTTAACCTTTTCCACCATTGTTAGATAAAGATAGAGACAAAGAGAGATGAAGAGATTCTCTAAGGAGGTAAAACAAAGGAGGGGAATAAACCAGATTTGGTTCTTATAATTTCCAATAGTCCTCTATCAAAGGACTTTGATAACTCCTGGGTGTTTTTAGTTCTTCTTTTGATACCTGAGCGAACAAATGACTATGGTCCCAGCATGCCCCTCTGGGTAAACTGCATCCCATTCACACTTCCGCAGTGGAAAAACCACAGTCTGCTCTGATCTGATCTGATCTTGCCCTTGCCTCTACTGCTGTGCTTTGGGAGGTAGAAGCTGCCTTACACTGAGCAAGAGCATTGGTTCGCATGCTGCCTCTGTCAGCTCTGACTGGAAATAATCCTCTCCACAATTTCAAGCAAGATGCTCCCCTGGAGACCCCTCATCAAATCTAGTGGACTTCCATCTAAAAACTAACCAGGCCTGACAACCTCTGAAATCAGAAAAGATTTGACATTTTGAAAGTGGTATTTTCCCTCAAATAACTGTTAAACACCAGTTTGAGAACATTACCAGAACTGGACGATGGTACTGCTTTCATGTTCCCCATCTAGTCAGCCACTAAGAAAAAGGAACATTGGACTAGACAGTCCATTAGCAGCACTCAATTCTTGTAATCACACCTAATTTGGCCCTAGAACTAAATATTTTTTGTTTTTAAAACTTTTTTAAAATTAAGTCAACTGAAAACCATTTGAAACAAGCCTAATGCAGGCAAGCTTTTACATAATATTAATATAGTCAGAACTCCTTCACCTCTTCCATGGGATTTAGGACATATACCTATGTTTACCTAGCTGAGGTTCATTTGCTATACCATTGTATGACCTCTGAAATCCTTTGAAAGGGAAAACCCTATAATCTACTCAGGAATATTGGAAAACAGAGCAGTTCATCTACTGTAGCCATCAGTAAATTTAGACATGTAAGGATGGATTTATTATTTTTGCGCATTGTTTCTAGATTCTACTGTTTGCAAATGGAGGTTATTTTTAGTAACCCAATATGCACATCCAGAATAGATTAATATATGTATAGAAGGGTAAGAGAGGGATATTGCTCCTCTCTACTGTTTGAATTCACTGCTTTCTCCAATTTTCTACTCCACTTATTAATATAGGACCTTATGCTTGCCTTTCTAATGGAATGGGTACCAAGAGATGTGCCCTTAATTTCCATTTATCCCAACACCCGAGACATAAAATGACCATAGGTGTGTTGTTTTTAAAAAAACAGAAAAAGAACCATATGATCTGTAGCTCGCTAAGGATGTTGATATATACGTCTAATAGTACTGGCCAAGTTTTATGACATAACCTACAACCATGTATTACGGAATTATGTATACAATTTCATTACAAAATAACAAAGCTGTCTTGGTATTAAGCCATTATCCCCATGGCTCTTCTGGTTATAAATCTTATAGGAAAATAAATATATAGTAGCACTAAGGAAGAGACCTAAAATATGAGCAATACAAAGTAGAAAACGAAACTTAGAGACAGTGATAAATAAGCAGATGAAACACAGGAAGGTTGCAAGGGATTAAATGAAGTATCTATATACTTGCAGTAAAATATGGGGGAATTATGCAGTGTCTCACTAGCCACACATAAACGATTGGAAGTAGGAATTTTTAAAGTGAAAAATACATTTCTATAAAAGAAATTTAGTACTCTAATTAAATTAGCCAATTAAAATGTACTTTTACTACGCCATAACACAATTCTCTATGAAGCTGAAAACAATACTTTAAGGATAGAAATATGCAACATATCCATACTGTGATAATCCTGCAAAATCTATTGTCTTTCTTGCAGATTCGAAAGATAACCAACCTCTGCTAGGGTAGAAATGCCTATTAAATAGCAACTGTGTCTCTCCTAAATGCCTGACTGCTGCTAGTGTAAAATTAATGATAAGGATGATTCATTTGCAACCTAGTACGAACACCTAGAAGTGGGAGCTCTTGAATCCTTCGATGTCTATCAGTTTCCCTCTACCAAGGCACGCTCACCCATAACATGGCCAAAGCCATTCAAAATTTTAGGGGAATCACAAAGCTGAGTTGCCATGAACATACCTCATAAATACAGTCACAAACCAGCTTAGCTTAGATGCTCCTTTCCTTCTTGCTATGAGAGGTGGACTATAACACTAAGATTTTGTCTCTGGTTACATCTGAATGCACACTAGCTGCCATTTTGCAGCCACTTAACTTTGTCCACTATTCACAATATTCTCATAGTTTTGGAAAAGTAACTCAGGTAGGCCTATGGGCATTAGAAAATAAATATGAACTATGTTAAAACTACTATAAGAACTATGTAAAAAGTCATTATAACAACTTCTTGCATCTATATTTGTCTTCTCTTTTGAAATGGCTTCTACAAAATTTTCACCTTAGTACAAAAGACTGCTACAAACCAGCAATCCGTATTCTTACTTTTGGGACTCCACTGTGAAATCTATTGTGCTATTTCATCTTTAACCACATCCCATTTGGCCTCTTGTTCATGAGGGGGTGTTAAATATTATACTTTACCAATTCCTCTCCTCACTGAACGACTGTGCATGAGTTTGTAAAGTGTTGCAGTGTGCACATAAAACAGAAAATTTTGTGATTTATTTTAAATCCATACAGATGTCATCATGTAAGTCTTAAAGAACACTCTAGTCAAGACTAGACAAAAACTTTATTGTGTCATTTAATCAAGAATGGAACATGAATGGGAGTAAATGAAATTAAATATCCTGCTACCTTGTGACTAAACTGTATAGTAGAATTGTATACATTCATATAGTATTAGACTCTTAACAAGTTACCAAAAACAGGCAGTAAATTAACTGCTCGATCCTAGAAGAAGTGCTGGGCCACTATGTGCTTTATCCTCATGTGGCCTAGTGCTATAAAGTGGATGAATATTAGTGCGAAATTATCAGAGAAGTACTCTGATTACTCTAATTAGTACGCAGAAAATTGCTGTTCTTTATTCTTATCTGGCTTCATGGATGCAAACAAAGATTTAAACAATACATCTTCAATTGCAATATTATTGATTCTTGAACATCTGATTATTATTGAAAATTATTATTAGAAAAGCCAGTAGGGATGAAATATAACAAGTTTATATATTTGTATATATTGTTGCCCTGTTTGATCTTTTGAATGGAAGTAAAGATGTTGTTACTTGTTAAAAAAAGAAAGAAATATAACAAGTTGAATCATTCAATACTGTAAGTAGCAAAAGTAGCAAACCTGAAAAGTAAAATATGAGTTTTGAAAGGTTTGAAATCAGGAGGTAAATTTAGTGAAATTTGGTTTCCTTTTATTTATTTTATCAGCAAACATAGCTTGAGTTTGTGTATCATCCACAAGAGATTTTGGAAAATTGTAGCTTGTCATTTATGTCTATTTCAGAATTTCTCTTCTAGTCTTAATGGTTTTTATTGCTGCTATGTATATACTGAATGTTTGACTGTTTTATAATGCCCATATAAATACAAGTAATACATTGATACAGTACTACTTATTATATTGTAATTTGTTGGTAGAAATGTATTTAAGAAACCTAAACTATATAATTGCTAGATGTTAAAATTGTAAGTCTGCATGTTACATTAAATGTTAGGAGAGAAACATCCCCAAACAAAATGGAAATTACTGGTTTTATTAAGATCATATCATTCTCACAGTCTGCTTTCCCTCTGCCTTTGATAATCCACAAAAAAAGGGACCTGGGCATGCTGAAGCTTTGCATAGATTTGCGTTCTTTCCTAGTTTTTGCAATATCACTGTTGGAGTTTGTGGCTTTCCCTCTCTTCTGAAACTGGAATGAGACTGGAATGAAGAAAATGATCCACACTACCTACTTTGAACTGCCATATAATCCAATTCAAAGCAGACAATCTGGCAGTGCAGAAGGGGCCCCTGGCCTAGAATTCATTTAGGGATTTGATGATAAAAAAAGAATGACAGGTATCACTAATGTAAAAGCAGTTTAATTTACAATGAATAGATACGATAAGTGTTTCAGAACAGTCAAAAAGTTTCAAACTTGTATTAGACAATAGGGTTGTATTTTGTGATATATTGTAATCTGTGTATTTTAGTGCAAATATTGAAACAAGTCCTGCTCTCCACAGGTGGTATGCTGCCCCCACCCCCACCCCCAACAAGTTTATATAGGTCGATACAACACACAATTACCTGGAATAAGTCTAAAATTAGGAAGTTACAGAACTGAAGTAGCTATGATCTACACAAACAAAGCTTTACTGCATAGGTGTAAGACCATACCTGTATTCCAAAACCAGAAAACTAATTCCTCACATTCCTCTTAGCTAAGTTGAAAACGGGGGCATATATGCTCTGATATTCTCAAATGGAGGCAGGTCATTGTGTATCTAGTGTGACAAGCTGAGATAAAGTGAACAGTTTGGTTATAAAAACATCCTTTTACACTCCTTGATAGGCCTGCTAACAGGCAGTCTGCACTCCCTGCATTTAATGATAGAAACACACTATTGATAAGAGGCACAGGTCTTCATATGGGTTCCTTTAGTGGGCTATTCCATTCTGCTCATAGATGGTTGGGTTGTTGTTGTTTTTTCTTCAATCAGCAAATGAGAGGAAAGAGATTTATCCCAGACTGTTTATTCTACAGATATTTAAGAAAATATGGATGCTATAAACACTTTATCCTAAAAACATGATTTTAAAAATATCTCAAAACTGAGACAAGCATGAAAAAGGAGAAATAACATGAGTTCCAGCGCATTCGTTCAGGAGAT